ATTCTCTAAAGTACCGCAGTCTCTTCTCCTAAGTCCTTTTGAATTCTCCTATCCACTATCCCTTAACCCCGTGACGTTTCACTCAGAGGTCAAGGAATAGGAGATAGGGTTAGAATTTAGGAGCTGATTTTTGGACAATTCGACTGTAGCCCAAATCTTAAATCGGAGGTTCCTCCAACAATGCAACATATATATAAAATAATAATAACGTTAAGGACCTTATAATAAAAGGGAGCCTTTTATAAAAATAGTCCAAGAAGAAATTGAAATTAAGTCAGGTAAAATGATAGGCAGGAATCTAAGCAATGTACTACTGTGGATCAGGAAGTACGTACAAGAAAAGCCCACTTAAAGAAAACAAAAAAACGTTAAAGTCTATCTTATTTGTTTATTTACAATTGTGTCACCGCTTAACATTGCCGTCAAACAGCAACTATGAATAACTATAATTTGGTAATAAATTGAATATGGATAATTACCTCATACAAACACACTTCTCAACATCAAATGTTGTCTTTAAAGTTTGATGGCTGTAAACCCTGTCCGTGTCCATGCTGTTCTGTAACACTTTCTCCTCTCTCTGCAGGAATGTGGTCCGAATGTTTGCCACAGCCGAGGGGATCCTGACCCAACAGGACCACCTCAACTCAGACGGTCTGCAGGAAGTGTTTGCCACCAACCTCTTCGGTCATTTTCTCCTGGTACACCACAGATATGAAATCTAAAATATAACAAAAAAAACTTTAATCTGACATTGTAGCCTATATACAGTCCTGAATACTATATGATGTTACAGTATAGTTATTTAGTATTATAGTTGTACATGCATAAAGTATATATAGTATATAAGTCATGTACCGTATGGTGCAGATCAGGGAGCTGGAGCCGCTGCTCTCCAGGCTCGTGTGGACCTCCTCCAGTAACGCCCGCCGCTCCGCCTTCAGCATGGAGGACATGCAGCACCGAGAGGGGAGGGAGTCTTACAGCTCCTCTAAGTACGCCTCAGACATGCTCAGCCTGGCTCTCAACAGGCAGAAGAACAGCCAGGTCAGTCCATCAGACAGTCTGCACACTACCGATTCAGGAGTGACGTTTGACACACACTCCAACATTTAGGTTGGTCACAAGGTCATTATAGTGGCTGCAGGCAGTCCTTTTCTTTAAAGAAGTCTTAGCAATTTTTAACAGTGTAAAAAAGTTACAATGTGGTCCCGTTTCCTCTAGGTGGCGCCAAAAGGCAGGTTTGTTAGTATATTAAAAAAGTATGTTCACATACATTTTTTTACTCTATTAACCATCAAAAGCAACTGCTATCGTTCCCCGGATGTTTCCCTTTATGTTTGTTTTCTTTAAACTCTTTGTTTTGTTTGTTGAAGAGGACAGTATTTGTTTGAGACCAATGAATACAATTATAGCAAAATTCATTTTTTCGTTGGTTGACGGGGTAAAAAAACTGCACTGTGAAATATTATAGTTTTAGATCTCCTTTGGATATACCAGTAGAGTTAGATTTTTTTAATTGACCTGCAAATAATGTTTAATTTACCTTTTTTTTTAAAAGCATAAAATAACTTTTAGAACTCTCACCACTCTTAAAGCACTATCAACTTTCTTAATTAAATAGAAAGTTATTAACAATGTGCATCAGGTAGATCGTAAAAATGTTCCTGAAATAAATATGTTTTCTCTCTGTGACAGGGGCTGTTCTCCTCTGTCATCTGTCCCGGGCTGGTGATGACTAACCTGACCTACGGGATCCTCCCCTCCTTCTTCTGGACCCTCATCATGCCCGTCATGTGGCTGGTGAGTGAACCTACTCATCTCTGGGAAACATGATTAGAATCGCATATTATGGAGCCATAGGAGTGCCATAATAAAAAAATATTATTATTATAAAGACATATTATAATGCATTATTTCTTAAAATATGTGCTTTTTGTAGATAGATTACTCAAGATTTTTTAAAGCAAAATCAATAGAAAAAAGAAGGAAAATAAATACTTTATTTATTTGTTTAAAAACATAATAATACATACAGAAAGAAAAATAAAGAAATGTGAACAAAATGATAATGCATTTAATTATCTTTTTGTTGGGTAATCATTGTTTTATTTGTTTATCTTTACATTATTTGTTATTTACCTATTTATTATGTTTTTCTGTCATTAAATGTTTTCTCATATTTTTTGTTTTTATGGCGCTCCAAGGACTCCATAGAGTTTGCACTGTATAATGGTATGGGATGTATTTTCAGAATCAGAAATCAGAATCGGAAACAGGTTTATTGTCAGGTAGGTTCGCACATACTAGGAATTTGACTTGATGTCATGGTGCATACATAAAATATAAAAAACAAGAAATCTAATATAAAACAGAAAATCTTTTACACCGTAATAAAATACAGTTAAATAGCAATAAAATAAAAATAAAATAAAGCAGTAATTTACATGGAAATAGAATGCTATGAAGGAATTTTTGCATATAAACTATGAAATGTGAAATCAGAATATGTGCAGAAAGGAGTATGACATTGTGTCATTGACATTGTGACTCTCTGTGCTTAATAGATAAGGATCTTCACCAACACATTCACGCTCACACCACACAACGGAGCAGAGGCGCTGGTATGTTGCTGTCAGTACGAAATAATGCACACATATCTCTAAAAATGAATTCCTATAAACACGACGTCCTGCTTTTTAACAGCACTGGCTGTTTCTACAAAACCCTGAGTCTCTGGACCCCAGAGCAAAGTATCACAGTTTAACATCAGGACTCGGAACAAACTACACTCAGCCTCGCCAGGTGAGTAACCAGAGACCGGCACAGAGAGACATCATACTGCTTTACGTGAAATTTAAACAAGCTGAACCTGAGTACAGTGGAAACCCCTTACAGTGATCACAGTAACTACTACTACTACTACTACTACTACTACTACTACTACTACAAAGCTAGTGCCAGACATATTTCTTTACAAAACCTGTTTAAATAATTAGCTTATAATAATAACAATATAATCCTCTGCTTACAGGGTTCATTTTGTGCATTTTCGTACATTAGACCACATACAATTTGACATACATATATTTTTATTGTTATACTAATGATTGAAAGCGTAGTTTATTTTTAGGCCTGTTCAAAAATATAGAAATGCACTGCCAAGTTGTGGCTCATTAGCATTTTTGCACAACTGCTGTTTCTTTATTTGTAAACAGCACAATATGTGTAATTGAACTAAAGTAGGCTATATTTTAAATACAGTACTGCACTGATTTAGAATGTATTTGAATCAGAATATCTTAACTTTTTAATGTATATACATTTTATTTATTCCGAGGAAAAATGTTTTGCGAGTTGCTCCAGCTTTGAATTATATAAAAGATACATTTAAAGAAATTGATTACTAATATTTATATAAACATAAGAAGCTAAAGTAAAAATTCCAATAAAGGTTGAAATCAAATAGACTCAAATACAAATATTTATATAAACATAAGAAGTGAAGTAAAAGTGTTTTTAAGTCAAAATAATGTTTTTCATTCTTGTCTCAGATGGACATCGATGAAGGAATGTCCGATGTCCTCTATTCAAAACTCCTCAAGCTTGAGAAAGAAGTCCGAAGGAAACAGAGTGAAGAAAATGCCGACGAGGAAATTTGTGCAGTGAAATAGTGAGTCATTTGTAATGGATCATTTTGCTCTGAATAAAGTGCTCTTATTCATTCTTGCGTCTCGTATCACTGAACAATGTGTCTCTATTGTCTTTTCTACACAAGTACAATTCCACAAGACTTTTCTTTGCATTTGCCCTTTCTGGGATCAATAACCAGCAGAGGTCTCTCATGGTGTAACTAAATACCAGCACCGCTGCTGCGTCTTCACCTGATATCTGTATCATGTTCTTCTTCAGCGGGCTTCTAACCTTACAGACTTGAATCAGCTGTTTGCTTGTAAGGTCTGGTTTACCTCCAGCTCTTCCATCAGCTGTCACCAGGGTCTCCTTTTACCACAGATCATACATTATGATGTGGTTAGCTGAAAGGCATGACATGCTCACTGATAAGGTCTTTAACAGACACATGCAGGGTAAAACAATTCTTCTTTTCACAAGCTCTTATGCACAAGTTTTGTTTTACTGATATTTCACTGAAATTCAAAAATATAACTGCTTTGTGGTAGCAAAAATAGGGCTTTGGAGGCTCAACTGCTTAATGTAATTGTGTTTTGCTTTAGCTGCTCCTGGCACACTGGTTTGCAAGATGATTGCGTTTTTTTTGTTTTAATAATAGGAATATAAGAGAAAAATATACATGACGAATGTGCATCAGAGGCCTTCTTTTAGCCATTTCAGAAAAGTAACTGAACTTTAATCGGTGAAATGTTCCAAGCGCTGCGTTTTCTTGTTTATCAGCAACATTAGGGAACAATTAATTGCCCGATTTTCATTCAACTTTATTAAACAGTGTAGCATAGACCAGAGGCATATAATATAATGTATATAAATGGAATCTATATGGCGCTGGCATAGACCAAGGAAGAACCCGTTTATTTGTGAATTTATGGAATCAACCATTCTAGGTTATTTCTTTATTTGATTACACATTTTGACTGGATGGATGTTCTCGTAAATGAAGCGCTAAGATGCAAATTAGCAATGGTCATAAACACGTGCCCTGGGCCTGAATAGAGTTTCACTCTTGTTTTTAAAATCAATGACATCCATTGGTGAAAGAAACTGGAGTTACATGAAAAAGTGCCTGAATATGTCTTAATCCAGTGTGACAGCTTCAGTATGCTGAGAGCTGTCTGTGCACAGGACGGTCTTGTCAGATATTGTTCCGCCAGCTGTTGCTCAGCATGCCCCTGCTGGCTCTAAACACAACATTTGCTGCTTTTTATAAACTGACAAATCCCACTTAATCTTATGATATGTGTGTCTGTAGCAGCACAGAGTCAATGCTAAAAAGTACAAGGACTTGAACACATAATTGTGTAGAATCTATAGAGTTTATATGATTCTGTTCAAGTTTATATCTTCTTGGTCGAATGCACTTATTGTAAGTCGCTTTGGATAAAAGCGTCAGCTAAATGTAATGTAATGTTTATTTAAGTAATGTAGATTAATAGAGATATTGGTTTATGATGTAAATAGTTACCTAAGTGACACTTCTTCAGCCAAACCATGAAATATGTAATAGTGTTTTGTTCTGTACAGCATCATGTACTTTGGACAAAACAGGACCAGCAGACTATGGAAAGCTTCCCCTGCATGTGACTTCCTCTCAGAAATTAAAACCCGGATTACTGTAGGAGGATATAAAAGCACATAGTTACATAATGTAAATAAAAACATTGCAGCCTCAGTGTGTTCAGATTGGTGCGCTGTGCACGATGTCCCGGATGGTGCTCGCACCGGAAGAGAAGGGGCAGCTCTCCCAGCCATCTTGTGGCAGCATCCAGCGAATTGTTCGCATCAAACCTCGTAGAATCGGAGGTGAATCCCGTTGAAGGGGCGCCATCATGCCCGGACACCTTCAGGAAGGCTTCGGCTGTGTCGTAACCAACCGGTTTGACCAGTTATTGGACGATGAGTCCGACCCGTTTGAGATCCTAAAAGCGGCGGAAAACAAGAAGAAGGAGGCGGCCGCCGCCGCTGGCTCCAACAAGACCGCAGCTCAAGCCGCGAAGCAGCCGAAGAAGGAGTCACAGAAGGACAGGAAGAACCCGCTGCTGGACAAGAAGGACGATTCCCAGGCTCCGGTCCCACTGAAGAAAGAAGGTAACACAAGCATTCACCTGCTCTTTAGCTTGTGAGCAGTGCATGTTTATTTTCATCTTTATCCTATAAACTGTCATGTACATCTTAGCTGCTTTAGCTGATGCTGGACTGAAAACAGAGGGGTCAACCTGACAGACCGAGGTTAGCTAGAGAACAAGAGGAGGTTGCACCGTGGGGACCAGAGAGCCTGTGAGCTGGCACGGTGTCCCGCAGCATCCTGCAGGACGGTGCAAGGCTCGGGTCCGCTGGAGGATGGGCACTACGCAGCTCCGTTAGCGGCTGCAGGCAGCGGGACGTTCACCTGCGCAGAGAAACCAGACAGACGGCTCTTTGTTTGCATCTGTCACATTTTTTACTACAGTGAATTTAGATTTTGTTTAAGTTTAGTCCTCTAAAATAGAGTTAACAAAACGAGGTAATGAAGAAGGCCCGCTGTTAGCCTGTGTTGTTATTAGTGTGCAGTGAGAGCTGTTGTTTAAGCTTCTGGATGGAGACAGTGGGAGCTTTGCGTGACAGATTGATCTTTCCTGAACGTTTAAATATCACTGCCATTAGGAATATAAGAATGATATTATATAAACTGTGCTTACTGCCACTTGAAATACCTCTTTTTTTTATATAAAGCAACATAATAATTCCATTTATATTTTCAGCGCCTTTTGCACTCGGCACTATTTTCGTACTGGCTAAACACTCCGTTGTGGTGTTGTTTGCAGTTGCACCGGCACAGGCTATACCATTTTTTTTTTTTGGGGGGGGGGGGCCCAATAGAGAGGCGAAGTCCTTTATTTCGGAAAAAGTATGTATTGAAGTCAAGAGAGAAAACATATCTTTCGATCCCGTTTGAATTGTGCCATGAATTACAAAAAAAGTTTAAAAAAAAGTCACAGTTGGTCGTAAAACTGTTGAAATATAAGACTATGAAAAATATGCAACTAGAAAGACTACAAATCCCAGAATCCCGGCTCTTACGGAACCGACTAACTCCCCTTTTGTGTATGTACAGCTCTCAAGTCAACGACTTGTAGTGATTTTCACCTCTTTTAATACTTTTCGCCTCATTCTGAAACAAAGAAGTGAAATGTGCCAACGTGACGGCCGTCTTGGTGTGTGGTGCGAGACGGGAGATGTAGTTCATTGAGCAGTTTCACACAAAAAAGTGTTACTTCACAGTTTCACGACACATTTAAAAAAAATTGACTTGCAAAATTATCTTTTAAATTGACAAACATCATACGTGTAATTTGTGGCACAATTCAAACGGGATCGAAATATAATCTTTCTCTCGCCATTGACTTCAACACATACTTTTTCCGAAAAATAAGGTCCCATGGAGGTCCCCCGGAAAGGGAAGGACTTTGCCTCTCTATGGCATTGACCGGTTCATGCAGTCTTCAAAGTAACCAAGCAACAGAGGTCGCGTTAACCGAATATATTCCGTCTATGACGGAATTCTTTTGACAATGACGGAAAAATCTGAAAGCAGTCCGTCATTTTGACGGATTAGAACCTAACTCAGAACAGCGCCAAAGTTTCCCCGCAGCAGTGCTCCGGTGTTATGCCACCGGGTCCGTCTGCGTCGCGTAACGGCTGCTCCGCGGTTTTGGTCCGGCCTCCTCCGGCGTCATACCCTACCGGGCACGTTTCAGAAGCATTTCAGAAGCGGAGCGTCTTGCCTGCCGGCTCGCAGTTTTAGTTGATTTGGGCATATTTCCTGGACAGACTACTTTGTACAGACAAAGTTAATAATAATTGTAATATCCCAGTTATAAACGACATGAATCAAAGATGTGTTGCTGTATTTTAATGGTAAAAAAATTAATTCATCATCATAATTATTCTATATATATTTACACAGTGCCTGTAAACCGGAGGAGAACGCTGGCATTTCTATATATGCTCTGAACGTTCCACTTCCTGCCTGCCCGACATTATCTTACGGCTGCATCGCGTCGAAAAATAGACTTCAATCCTATTTCGAGCGGAGCCCAGCGGCGAGACGCTTCTGGGACGCTTCTGAGCCGTAACGCGGCGCGTCTGGTGGAATAGCACCCATTGACTAGAGTGGCCGCGATCCGTGCGGACGCCGCGGCGCAGCCGTAACGCGACGCAGACGGACCCGGTGGAAACTAGGGGTAACTTTGCCGTACAAATCATCTAAGGACAGAGGGTGTCGTATTGTCATTCTGATATTCTGTACAAACTGTGAAGTCCACTGAGACAAATGTAACATTTGTGATATTGGGCAATATAAATAAACATTGTTTGATTGATTGAAATCATTGAAATGTCTGGGAGTTTGTGCTTTACACTGTGGCGCGCTCCCGCGAGGTGCAGTGGGCATGCACAACACATCACCAGTGCTAAAACAGCCAGGAGGAGAAGCTGGATTTGGCTGTGCCCGGCGGTGGTCCAACAGTTCCCCCAAGGGCCCCAACCGATAGGGGACTCTATGGCGCTATTGAGACCCCCGACGCCAAGATCAAAAGCTATATTATAGCAACCGGTCCATGTAGGCCTACCAGCCCATTCCCCAGAGACAAACATGAAGGAAACAGGTGTAATCCTCTTCTTAGTTTGCTGTGTCGTTGTCAGGCTGTGGTGGTTTGAGGCCAAGGCAGGCTGTTGTTGAAATATATGACATGTGGCGCTTCCGAGTGGTTGTGTATGTCCATCATAGGCGGCGCTAGGTGGTGCTAAAGCTCCCCTAGGATAGCCATAGCACCCCCAAGAAATGTATGTCATAATTTGAAAAATGATTTATTCAAAAATAGTATGCCACAATACAGAGTGTGTGTGTGTGTGTGTGTGTGTGTGTGTGTGTGTGTGTGTGTGTGTGTGTGNATCGGTGCTAGTGCTTGTAAAAAAGTTTTGTTTATAGCAAAACTTATTCAATCATTTAAGCTTTGTTAGTTCCAGGTTTAATATGTACAATAAGTTCACTTGAATAAGTTTTGCTATAAACAAAACTTTTTTACAAGCACTAGCACCGATTTTTTATTTTTGGCCCACTGTGTATTTGAGTTTCACACCCCTGCTTTAAACAGAATGAGTAACAACATTCAAACTTGTGGACTTTGATTTTCTGCTATTGCATGTGGCATTCTAAATGATAGCACATGCAGGAAGTCATTTACTGAGAGAAACCTGTAAAGGGGAACTCCACCTATTTTACAATCAGTCTTTTAGCAGGTTTTGGGAAGAAATACTCCATAAACAGTGTGGGAAAAAAAGCAGTTTGAAATATTTGGTGACTCCAGATGGAGCTGTTTGACTAGGGCTGTTGAATCCGTATAGTCTAGTAAGCTTGTTAGTGGCTGGATTGCATTGTGGGTATTGTAGGCATTATCAGTTTTGATTCTTAAAAATAACAAAAAACAACTGCCCATCGTCAGTCTGATAATGGAACTCAATGCATAAGTGCTCATAAGTCTTTTTACTGCCTTTTACTTTATCGGAACCAACAGCTGTAAATAACACAACATTAATAAAGTAAGAGACAAATCATCATTCTTATACATTCAAATAAAGCTTAAGATTTTCATTTGGTTCTCCTTTCTTTAGAAAAACCCTAAGGCCCTTTTATTGCTATACCACAGCTCTAATTGCATGTACAATATATGTTGCATCCCAGTTTCATCTGAATCTCATGCATGCCCAAACACTGCTGCGAGGCCAGCCTGAAGTTTTGACTCTGGATGTTGAAGTTTGACCTATTTCAGTGTTCCATTCCAGTTAATGGGGTTGAGGCAGAGCATCTCTCTCTCCTTTAGGGTCTCCTGGGAGCGTGTTAGTGCTCTGTCCCTCCAGCTCTGCTCCATTAGCTGCACACACACCAGAGACACACAGGGGAAAAACCTCAGTCACTTCCTATATTGTTGTAACCTGAGAAGAAGCACTATGTTAAAGCATTATCATTACACTGTGAAGGCATTAGCAGTGGATACATAATGTATGTCGTGTTGGACTTTACCCTCTTGTTCTCATCTCTGTAGGCTGTCATTGCTTTGCTGTGCTGGATCCTTAGCTCTCTTTCACCGGACAGTGCGAGGCGGTCCACTTCCCGTAGATTCTCGGCTTCCTTCACTTTACTGGCCACATGTAGCTTCAGTGATATGCATTTCTCTTCCATCTGCCTCTTTAAATGCTCTAACAACTCTTTCCTAAAGGAACAAATAATTGATTTTCTATGTCAACACTGAATTTTCATATTCAGTATGTAATGTTTAGAAGATTTTAGAGGATAATAGAAAGAGACTCAACAGTTCAAATTGTTTAATTGTACCTGTACTCGTCTCTCTCACTGCTGGATCCATAAAAAGGTTTTCTCCACACTTGATGATACCTGAAACATCAACTACATGTCAGTGACTTTTGACCTCAGCTCTTCTAAAAGGCATTAGTGATTTTCAGTTTGAATAAAATGGTAATGGAGAATTGTTCAGATGCTCCTACCTCTGGTGCTCTCTCCTCTGCATTATCAGTGTCCTCTGGTGGTTGTGGTGGTGAACAGCTGGTGTCTCCAGGCTGACGATGCGTTTATGAACCAAAGGTGGATGTAAAGGGTTCAGTCTTGGGATACTCTAGAAAGCAGATTTATGAACTTTTATTTTTTCTTAGCTCAAACACTTTATTCCCTTGAGACAGTCTGACAATACATCTCTGCTCACCTGACTGCTTGCCCAGAGCCGGGCAGAGTTTGAGATGCTGGGAAATGTAGTTTGGGTGACCACCAGACAGCGACTCTGCCGGATAGGAAGTGTGTCTTGAGGAATACACACTGGGGTGGAAGCTATGGAGATAGCTGCTGTGGTGATGAAGGTTTAGAAAAACAAAATCACTGCACATGTTTAAGATTTTACTAGTCACACTAAAATAGACAACAAATAGAACAATTGTTTTGTTTCCTTACGTAGTCTCATTTTGTAGTCCAAGCTGTCTCTTCTGTTCCTCTACCAGAGAACTTTTTGTGGAATGAAAATTCTCAACGTGTTAAAAAACCTGAACAATTAAATAGTTTTCTTAAACCAGCACATTATGATTTCTGGTAAATCATAACACAAATTGAAATATAGCAAATTAGTGCAGCGGCACTAGTTAGAGATTAACTGTGACATGCCTGTGCATTCAATGAGTGTTTTGCGGTGGCAACAGTTGCCTTGGGAATCAGGTTACCCCCGTCCCCCGTCCCCCCCCCGTCATAAAGAAAGCTGCTGCGTAGACTGTAAGGACATGCATCAGTGCACTCAAAAAGAAAGACTATTAGACTGTGACAGTAGATGAACCAGATACAGTCGGAAGATGTCTCCTGATCTTATCTATATATAAAGACATGGAACAACATCACCAGTCTGGTGACTGAGTGATTAATGCACTCATGACTCATTTCAACTTTTAAACTACTAAAAACATTTTATTACACGTAAGTAAAACTTTTTAAAAGTAAGGAGACATTTCAGAGCATAATTATAGAGACATTCAGGAATAACAATGCAAGTTCATCATAATACTAATATTGAAATGGTTTATGTGATGCAACTGATTTTCATGCTTGTTTCCACAGCAAATCTTCTTTGTAGTTCTTCATATTTTGGATTTCAGATTCCAAGTCTTTCATGGTTCTCCCATAGCCAGTCGTGGTATTTGTTCAGCATGTGATCTTCAGGTTTCACCTTTGACATACAAATAGGATTAAATGTCACATTTGGCATTAATGAACATTATAAAACAAACAAAAACGTTTGCATTTAACTGACCACTCTCCACTCGTCCACACAGAAGATCCTATAGGAGTCGTTGCCGTACTTCCCAATGCCGTACAACTCAATGGGGTAACGCCACTGTTTAGTTAGATACTCATCTACGCAGGAGAAAATGGATTGTGAGGTATTTCTGGCAACTAGTATTGTATCATAGCTAAACCATACAAATCTACAGGAACAACATATTATTACTTCAATATTACTGAAATAACTGAGCACAAAACTGGAAGCTGTTATCCATCATGTATACAAGAGCAGCACATTCACCTGAGAAGCGTACGAGTGTTTTTGCTCTGAGCTCATACAGGCCTAGTGGCTTCATTAGTTCAGACAGGGGCTTCCAGTCGGCCTCCCGGGTCACCTCTGCAGACGGGTAACGTTCAAAGAACTGCCACAGCACTGGTATGGCCATCTTGCCTGAAGAATAAAAAAAAAGGAAGAGGAATTCTAGACTGAATTCCTGGTTGATACAATACTGTTGCAATTAGGGATGCATATCGTTGGCTTTTTTACGATACCGATACCGACCGATACCACTGAACGATACCGATACTCGACCGATACATATTGTGATACTTTCATGTTACATAAGGGAACATTTGAAGCGCTTTATAATATAGTTAACATGTCAAATGAATATTACAATTAATTGTGGGACTTCAACCTTTTAGTACTGAACAAACAATGAAAAACACGCTTGACAATACAGGCTTGAAGACTGTACATTCCTGTACTCTGATTTTATGTGACAGTAGCAAATGTTTTGAGAGGTTGGATGTGTTGCTGCCTTTCCCAGAAATAAACTTCTTGCAGTGGTTACAGACCCCACCATTCAGACTGGCAGTCATATGCAGCCACACTTTAGATGTTCGTGACGACTTCGAGCTAATGAAAAAACTAAAGCTAACCGAAAGGCTCAGACGTTCGGGAGGAAGGTGAAGGGCGTTGCTTGGCAATTAAGCCAATCACCGAAGCCGTTGCAAGACGCGCAATCTGATTGGCTGGCGTTTTGGGCGTGAGTTTAAGGATATTACACCTCACTTTATATATAAAAAAAACGGATCTGATTTCGGTACGGTATACCGTAGTCGCCAGTAACCGGTATGCACCCCTAGTTGCAATGCAATGTGTGTATGTTGGATCTTACCACTCGTCTTATTCAGAAAAATGGTGGCCACCAAAAGCTTCCAGGGGTCGTGGAAAAGTGTTTCCTGTACGAGGTTGTAGGGTGAGCGGGGAGGTGTCCACTTCTTGAAGGCCTTCCTCCTGGGGGGACTAAGGTCTGTGTATGGACAGTGTACATATCTTCTTAAATGTTAAGGTATACTTAATGTATCGTATACAAGTATACACAAACTTTCATTTTGCTTCTTTTATAAACAATTTAACATTACCATCACTGGGGTGTTTCCTTTTAAAATAAGGGCTTGTTTTGCGTTTGTGTTCCCCGCACTTGGACCCTAGGCAAACAGGAAACATGTATGTATATATTATTTAAAAAAACACATTTGTTATGATCTATACTGTCATACTTCTTCATCAAGACATATATTTCAAATACTTGGTGGGAACTCAAAGGAATCACACTACTCACTGTTTTAACTGATCAAACATGCTAGAATTTAAATAAGTTAAAAAAAAAAATAACACTTACTTAAACTGCTACCTTTACACGCTGTCAGAAATTGCAGATCATACTTACTATTCTGGGAATCTCTCACTGGTATGCAGCTCCCACCAGTGGTGTCAGGTAACAACACCTCCTCTTCCTCATCCTCAGCATCTGCCTCCAGATCAGAATTAGATTTGTTGGCACCTTTGATGTGAATCTGCAGCTCATCTCTGCCTCGTTCTTCCTCACCCTCATTCTCACTCTCAGTGGCAGGTTCAACATTCAGTTTGGGAGCAGAAGGCCTCGAGTCTGCTTCTTCATCCTTGCTAACAATGAGAGTGTGTTGTTGGTTACTGGGAGGATCCAGTCGGAGTAGCTTCTCTCTCAGCTGACCTGACCTCTGAGGGCTCTTCTGCAGTTTTACATCATCCTCTTTGGTTAAAGGCGCTTTTATGAAGCTCTTCACACATGCACTTTTTACTTTTCTGTCTTTAGTTTTACTTCTGAGGGAGGAAGAGGCTTTTTTAGATTTATTAGGAGGTGGATCCAGTATTTCTGTTGCATCTTCTTTTGTCTCCTGCGGTGCACCTGCATTTCTTTTCTTTCTTCTCTTCTGTTTCACTTGAGAGGGGAGTAATTGCGAAGGGGTGGGAGCATCGTCCTTGGATGCAGTGAAATCAAAGAGGTCTATTTCTAGGTTCCCTTCTCCATTTTTTATGAAGAAAGCATGCAGGGATGCTCTCGACCGAAACCTTTGCCCTTGGGGACTGACACAACAGAGGGAAAAATAACATTACACACTCAGCGAACTGATCGGAAAAACACTTATTCATGATTCACGGTATGTTTAAAAGAAAACGATGACACACCTTGTAATGTAGACGTCCATTTTGCCTGCTGTCTTGCCTGCTTTACGCTGCCTAACCTCTCTGATCCAGCCAGGGGGCAATGTGGAAGTGTGGCATGAGTCATCCTTGTCATTATGACTTTGGTTATTTATGTCTCCACCGGTTTCCAGCAGGAAATCACAGCCAGTATGCATCATGGTAGGTATATTACTGTTGTTATTGAGTCCGGTTGATAGAGTGTTGGATTCTGATGTTGTAGACTCTGTTGAAGCTTACGGCCTTCAGCTCATTGTCCGACTTTTTACTCCCACATCAGCAGTCATTCCTGGTCTGTGTCTTCTTCATCTTACATCTAGAGATAGACATATACAAATTAAATCCTCCTGACAGAAAGGGGTTATACATTGAGATGGCAGCAGAAAGGAAGGACCTCCTGTAGTAGTCCTTGTCATAGCGAAGCTGAAATAGTCTCTTAGTAAAAGTGCTTCACAGTTGGATCAAGGGGTTGTTAAAGGGTGTGGTGTTTTCCATTAGGCACAATAGTTAGAGTAGTATCCTCTTTCTCCATTGCTGCCTCTAATGGCTGCAAGGAGGGTTCCAGGAACAGATGATGACACAGGCCCATCATATCACCATAAAAGGAAAATTGTTTTCTAAAGGCTGGTAAAAGACCTGAAACATATAGTTACACATTTCAAATGACCTGGATTTCCTCGGTAAGTAGAGTCCTCTATTTATTTACCTGTAGGTAAACTATTATTACAGTTACACATTGATGAAATCCATGTATTATACTACATAGAATAGATACTACTATATACTACTGTCCCCGGTAGGGTTTTTACAACATCTGTCTTTTTTCCATTCAAATGTATATTGTGAACAATCTGTCATATAAATGAATCTTTAAATGGTATGGATAATTAGGACACATACCTTTATAACAAATGAGTTGGTGCAGATCAAATAATACCTGAGTAACTAAGAGAAATGCAAAGTATTAAAACTGTCCCAAGTGTCACATAAAGTGCATGTATGGCCATTTAACATATCACTGAGAACATGTTCATATAATAAGCAGCAACAAAAGTGTAACTTACCTGGAAGTACTTTGATTCTCGCAAAAATGCAGCTCCCCTCTCTGTATACGGTATACTGTATGCATGGTGAAGATTCACTTTTGTCTCGCCGCATACTCTCCGATGTCAACAACAAAGACTTGCCCCGCACACAGGAAGTAGCGCGCGGATCCGAGTCTGCGCAGTGAGAGCGACTCATCAGAACTGTTTGGTATGAAAAATCAACCTGTTGATACTAAACCCATCGCTGATTTGTTTGCTTTTTAAAGGTGGAAATGAGAGCCGTTCTAGCGTGGAAAGAGACAATTCGTGAACAGTGGTGAGAGCGTTGATGTTCTTTCTTGTTGTGATTACGTTGTCAACCTGGGCCGGATGCTGGGATGTAACGCTAGGTCGTTAGCAACGGCGGTTGCTATGTAAACTAGTGTTAGCCAGCTAGCATTAGCCCACAGCTATTTCATGTTCGTTTACTCTTGGTAGAGACCCTTACGCTGGTTTATGGTTATTGTATCTTAGTAGTAAGGCAACATGTGTTCTATCAATAGTGTAGCATGTCGGCTTTATTGTGTCGCACGATATAACGTTAAGTCAGAGCTAATGTTAAGCTAACAGTTACTTAGCTCTAGGTCTTATTTCTGCACACCATTGCTTGCTGTGCATGACATAACGTTACATTTTCATCTATGCTATTCTCAAATAGCATACATGCTATGTTACCACTCTGAATTGAAGATAATGTGTTAGCAGAGGTGGAAGAAATACTCAGACATTAGGTGAAAGTACCATTACTACAGTATAAATATACTCTAAGTAAAAGTCCTTAATAAAAAAATGTACCTAAGTAAAAGTACAAATGTATTGGCATCAAAAGTACAAAAAGTAAAATGGTGTTATTGTTTTACAATTATGAATGCATTAATGTCAATGTTGCACTTGGTAGAGGTTGGTTTATTTGGCTTTTATTACTTTATGTAACTGTTAGGTAGCCAATCCTATAATAAAACATGATTTTGTTTATTTTTGATTCTGCATTAGTTATGTTAATCTACAAAGTAGCTAGTAACTAAAGCTGTGAAATAAATGTAGTGGAGTAAACACTTTAAGTAAAAGGCCTCCAAGTTGTAGTAAAGCAAAAGTGTAAAGTAGCATAAAGTGAAAACACTCAACTGAAGTACAAGAACCTCATATTTGTGCTTGAGTACAGAAGTTGAGTAAATGTACTGAGTTACTCTCCACCACTGTGTATTTGGATTTAAAAGTTAACTTTACTTTCTTTAGGAAAGCATTTCTGATATATTCTTAATTTTGCAGTTTATGACACGTTAGTGGACCTTGTAATGAGATTCTTTCCCCTTTTTATTTGTATTTAGCTATTTCCAAGGTAAACATTGGACCTTAAAAGTAATTTACATTATTGATAAATCTGTCAGTTACTTTTAAAATAAATAAATATTAACACTTTGTTTATGAAAACGTTTTTTTTCAACAAAACATACTAAAAAAACGGTTCTATTAATTGTTCAAACTATTTAATACAAAAAAACAACGAATCAATGTATTTTTTTTGCAGTGTATATGACCTTGCCTTTAAGCCAGATGGCACCCAACTCATCATTGCCGCGGGGCTTCGTGTCCTGGTAAGACTTTCATGTTTTCTTTGGACAAGGCACATATTCACAGAAAACATGCAATATTATAACAATAAATGTATTGCTCTTTTATTGCAGGTTTATGATGTGGCAGATGGAGCTATAATCCAGCCTTTAAAAGGACACAAAGACATAGTGTACTGTGTGGCCTATGCTAAAGATGGTACTCCACTGGCTTTTTTCCACGTGTACACTACACTTTTCTTTCTTATCAGTCATTATTGTTATCTTACTAACTACTGCGTTCTTCTGCAGGGAAGAGGTTTGCTTCAGGGTCAGCAGACAAAAGCATAATTATCTGGACCTCAAAACTGGAGGGTATTTTAAAATATACGTAAGTGTGACTTTTACACATCAATGCCGTTTCATGCATCCTCTGCATTGTGTATTACTACATTTTTTTCTCCTTTCATGCTCTTTTCTGCAGTCACAATGACTCTATCCAGTGCGTTGCCTACAACCCTGTCACTCACCAACTTGCCTCCTGCTCTTCCGGTGACTTTGGTGAGTGTGAGCCTTTACTGTACTTTAATAAGTCACGCTTACTATTCTATAAACCGAAAAATATTTTCCCCCATGGAGCGCTGGAAATCAGGGTACCTTATTTTATATTTTCAGGTCTATGGTCCCCCGAACAAAAATCTGTGAACAAACATAAAGTTAGCAGCAAAATAACATGTTGTGGGTAAGTAAAGTCCCTTGTTTGAACAATACATTGGTACACTTGCATGGGACACTTGAATATTGAATGATTTAATTTGATTAAAGGTGGACGAATGACGGACAGTACCTTGCCCTTGGCATGATGAATGGAGTGGTGAGCATTCGGAACAAGAATGGAGAAGAGAAGGTCAAGATAGAGCGCCCAGGAGGCTCCTCTTCTCCTATCTGGTCCATAGCCTGGAACCCCTCCAAGTTAGTCTTACTTAGTTCTTGCGCATGCAATTGTAAAATAAAGAGCATATATTTTTATCTTCACTAATGTATTTCAATGTAATGCCTCACACTGCCCCACATGTTTACACTGTCCTTCCATATCCCAACATTTATAAAGGAATGTGTTCTGTTGAGAGTCAATAGCTTGTGTGGGGCCTGCAGGTGGCAGTGGTTAACCAGGGAGTATTGGAACTGTTTCTGTGAGGGAGAGGATTATATGTGTGTATATACTATGACAATATAAATGATAAATACAATGTCATGAAATGCAATTACAATTGTTTAGGATAAAACATGGTTGTTAATATCCAATTCTTTGGGGACGGGCTTGACTATGCATCCATCAGTTGAAGGGTAGCCTCTGCTTTTTTTTTTTTTAACAGCGTTATCATTTTCGAACCAAAGCCCCGTCGGTACAGCATGTTGACAGGAGTACTTATTTCTAAAGCCATTTGTGTTGTGTTTTCACAGGGATGAGCACAAAGACATTCTGGCTGTGGCAGACTGGGGTCAGAAGCTGTCCTTTTATCAGCTCAGTGGAAAGCAGGTGAATACCAAAGGTCTATGGAATACACATCCCAAATTCATGCATAAAATGTACAGTTTACTGAGTTACCCGTGCCTAAGTTCTAATACTGCAGGCTCTTTCTCCTCTGCCACTTCAAACCGTTGAAAAGGACTTTTAAATAAGTAAATGTAGTCTCATTGCCTTGCATGGGAACTAGCATAAGATTTATAGCATTTTGAAACACTTCACTGCTGATTGTATGTCCCATCACTTGCTAAAGCTATAAGAAACAAGAATATGTGTTCAAAATATATATGGTATTGGAAACACTTAACTGACTTTAAGACCTGTGTTTCCTTTTGTAATCAGACTGTCAGGCTCTATTGAAACCATAACAGTACATTGGAAGTGATCCTGCTATGCTTTAATAGCCCCCTCGCTGTCCCTCCTTCCCCCTAAATTCCCTGTGGGCAGTACCGTAATTATAGACAAATATGCACTGTTCATTACTCTGCCGTTTTGCTTTAGCTCATATATTGTCATCGGCCTATTTATCTATTTAAGTGAACATTCCATTTTTATTACAGCGGCGGGAATTGTTTGCAATGAAAGAAAATAACCATGGATTGTCGGCCAGCTTTTTTCCACAGTGAGGAGAAACAGATGCAGAGTTGGGACTCATGTGTTGTGCAAACAGACTTCAAACATTAATACAATAGACATTGTTTAAACCAGAGAAAAAATTTGTTGTCTAGCATTTGATCAAACACTCAAAGGGATGGTTGAATGTACTGAGTACTTTGATGTCTGTCAGCCGAGACAGTGGGAGGTGTTGGCCCAGAACCCTGGGCAATAAATATGAAAAATAATACTTGTATTCTTTGTTTAATGTCCACCTCTCCTTTGTCTCTCAGATTGGAAAAGACAGGCCTCTCACCTATGACCCTTGCTGCGTCAGCTACTTCTCAAAGGGCGAGTATATTGTCATGGGGGGCTCTGACAAACAGGCCTCCCTCTACACTAAAGATGGCGTGCGGCTGGGCTCCATCGGAGAGCAGAACGCCTGGGTGTGGACGTGCCGGGTTAAGCCTGACTCCAACTTTGTGGTGGGTCCACAGCTTGTCAAGCTATATGTCTAACAAATGTATCACTACCATTAACTAATAAGGTGGTGGAGGTGTTTTATGAAAATGCTGAAAAAGCTTTGAGCAGTCTGCATTTGAAACATTTTGTTGATCGGATTTAGCCACACGAATACAGAAGGCATTGGATTCAGCAGTAACACCTTGCCAACTTTTCCTCTCACTACGTTTAACTGTAAATGATGGGGCGTAACATTGAGAATTTGTAGCTGGCAGTTCTACTGTTAAGATGCTTTCACAACAGGAACATGTTCCCACTCTCACAGTCTTTTCTTAGAGGTGTTAATAGGATGTACTGCTATATTTGTTATCTCTTATCTAGGTGATGGGCTGCCAGGATGGGACCATCGCCTGCTACCAACTTATCTTCAGCACAGTTCACGGCCTCTACAAGGATCGCTATGCTTACAGAGACAGCATGACTGATGTCATTGTCCAGCACCTCATCACTGAACAAAAAGGTGCATATTTGCTTCAGCACCAGGATATCTAGTTTATAACAGAGGGTCTTTTGTGATGCTAAATAATTATGTGTGTGTGTGTCAGCTGCTATGATCAAGGGTATAAAGAAATGTCTATTTGTATTTTTTCATATAAACCATATCTGTCCTAATAACATTCATCCAATGATTTTGTTGTAAGGCATCTCATTTCCAACTTCATATACAGGTTTTTTTTTTATTTAAATGAGAGAAAGCAGTCTTTCATTTTTTTTTTACAAATAGGGAAAAGCAGTATGACAGCATCGCTGGGATTGTAACAATCAGCCCTGAAAAAAGAATTTCAACAGAATGCATTAGCTATGAAAATGACACTTTGTCAACAAGTCCGCTCTTTCCTTCATCTCCTTCTTTGCCTAGTGAGGATAAAGTGCCGTGAGCTGGTGAAGAAGATCGCCATTTACAGAAACCGTCTTGCTATCCAGCTGCCCGAGAA